AAAGTAATTTTAATTTCGTGGCAATAATCAGTCAAATTGACACACAAACAATTGTGTGGTTTGTGAACTTCCGCTGTGTATGGAGTTCCATATGAAGTAATCCAATACATATATATATATGTAAATGTGTATAACATATATGTGGATGTTTGTGACAGGGCGCATACATAAATTCATAATTGCAGCAGCCGCAAAACCACTTCGTTAAGAATACTGCGGCTAGTTTGACAGCTGGACCGAGCCCAGCGAGCGAGCGTAAATGCGAAAGCCGCAAATCGCAATGAACATGCACACGCGGTCAAATTGACAAGCCCACCTCGCTCCTGATGAGGCTGGTTCAGTTGATGTCCACTGGATGCCGAATTCCGAATGGGAGAGCTGGCAAGCGCGTGAATCTACTTATGCAACGCGCATGCATATACATGTGTGTATGTATGTATGTGTAAAGTAGTGCTTGCTCTGTTTACAATTCATTTATCACGCATACGCCCCATGTGCCCGAGTAGCCAAAGGAAAAAGAGCAACTTCTTTATTTCATTGGCCAAGTGCCATAAAGTTGGCTCTATAAAAGAGGAGCGTGGCTGACACTATAGGAATTATTTACTAGAGTCTTCTGTCTGAAATGTGAAATGAGAAATTCAGATTACTTATAGATTTTACAATATAGGAAGTCTAGATACAAGCTATGTATATATTAAATCGTCTATCTGCCTATCCATCTATCTAGCTGTTGAAAAGTTCTTCATCTTACAATCAGCCTACACTGAGAAATAGAAGTGTATGATAGCATTTCTTCTCCATCAGACCACATACTTTGAAGACAGCCCTCGCAGCTTTAGCCAAGATATCGGAAGCTTGATGTCTTCGAACAGGGCGCAGCAGGCCTCCTGGCCGAGCCATCAAAATGACATTATAATGTGGCAAATGACTTGGCGTATACCAGCAGGAGCAGCAGCACCAGCAGCACCAGCAGCACCAGCAGGAGCAATGCGAGCAGCGGTCGGCTAAACATAAACATTAAAAATTAATCAGCACTTCCAACTCAAAACTTTTGATAATTTCTGCGAACAAGAAAGCAACAACCTGAAAGGGTTAAATGGCCAAAGTCCCCCCCAAAAGTTTGGGGCGACAAAAGGAAATGTCTTCTTTTTTTTGAGAGAGAGAGAAAAATGACAGTCAGACTAGAGAGAGAGCGGGAGAGAGAGAGGGGGAAGATAAGGAGAGCAATGGCTGACTCTCTGCTAGAGCATAGCTTCGAAAACTTTTAACCCATGTGGAGGGACCCTTTTAGGGTTTTTTGGTTTTTCAAATTTATGAAGGACATAAAACGTTGACTCAGGTGGTTGTAATTTTTTGTTTTGGCCGTTAACAGGGAGCGGCTTTACTTAGTGTTTAACGCTCGTTGCTGGGTTTAATTGGTGCGCTTGTGGCGCAACAACTTTTCACACTTTATGCCGTCGGTGGCGTATGAGTGATATTTCATGTTTGAGCGTTTTACGCGTCGCTCGCCCAGCATAGACCTCGGCCAGCACACGCTTAAAGTGCAGCTATTATTATATCTAGTGCTTATCATAAACTACTATTTACACACTCCTTGCTCCCACAGTCCATGAGCAGAAGCACGAAAAGCACGAGCATCAAAGGATTTATGTCAACTAATAAAATCGGGCGCCTTTGCTGTAGCTGGACAGACAGAGGGGAGCTGCGAGGGATGGGGGAGAACATTTTGAAAGCTTTTTAGTTGCGCTTCAAACTTTGAGCATAAGCAAACAAACAGTCGAGCGTGTAATTGCAATTAAAGGTTGCAATTAAGATGCTTAAACACAAAGAACAGGTGCAACAGGCAAGGGTGCTGTGGGTGGGGGATGATCGACTAAGACACACCCTGTAATTGCAGTTAAGGAGCATAATTAGGGAATGGAGCCACAACAACTAGGGGTTAATGACTGCCGAGGGGAATGACTGACTAGTAAATACCCTGCAATTGCAATGCATCGCAAAATACGGGTGCAACGCGTAAGGGCGACTAGGATATACCCAGCAATTGCAATTGCAGTTAAGAGGCATTATTAGAGAATGCAGCTACAAGCAGCAGGGGTGAATGACTGACTAGTAAATACCCTGCAATTGCAATGAATCGCAAAATACAGTTGCTACGACTAAAGGTTATATAATATGGGACAATGTTGACTAGGAAATATCCTGAAGTTTTTGACTTCATATAAATTTGTATACGAAATTCTTGCATAGATGAAGCTAAAGAGAGTCTAAGGGCAAGTTAAAATATATGCTCAAAATGTAGGAATTGAATATCGATTAAATTCGGTTTTATAGCAAGCTTCAAATTAATCGATAACTTATTCATCAGCACTGCTGAAGAGACTCCCTAGGAACAGAAATGCCCTGAACAGAGCTGCAGCGGCCTTCATTTAGTCATCTCCTCTTCACCCACTCATATGTTCCGCTGCCTATAACAAGCATTTCAAGATAACCAATGTACCCTACTGGACCATTTTCACTATGTACGCCTAGGGTATCAAATATCAATAGCTCACTTTCTATAGCTTTCAATTAATGCCGACTTTAGGTATGTAGTCTGTCATTTCACTTAGGCCTGGCAAGCAAGTTGGAGTTCATTTTGAAATACTTCATCACACATTAGCACAGATCTCGGGCTGATGTCAGCTGATTGACAAACACAGCAGTGGCCTGCAATGACCCACAGGATGTGGGGAAACAGCGTCAGCAAGAGCAGTCAGACAGAGGGACAGACCGACAGACAATGAAGCACTCATATTTCAAACTTTTGTCATTGTTCGAGGTGGCCAAGCAGAGGTAAGCGAGCGTAATGAGCGACAACGGCAAAAACAGAAAGAAAACTCAAACAGAGTCTCAACTGCAGCAATGCCAAACCGACAATTAAAAGAAAAGCAACTGCTGCCAAGCGAGCAACAACTGCAGACCTGTTGACATCTCTCTGACAGCTTATTATTTATCTACATGCATGCTGAAATAAATGAACTTCTAGTAATGTGAGCTATGCGAAAGGTGTATTGCACAATGAGAGCGTGAGTGAGGGAGAGAGAGAGAGAGAGGGAATAGAAACTGCCAGCCAGAGCAGAGCTACTTGCTTCACTCGAACTATAAACACTATTAAAGCATTTTCAACTCACTTTTGGCTAAATTTCTCTCTTATGCCCATACTCAAGCTAAGTTTGCGCACTGCTATCCGATTCTTTAGACCTCGGCATCCTCTTCCCCCTTCGAGTTTCTGCTAGGCCTATTCAATGTGTGGGCTTATCAGGCCGTGCATAATTTGAGTATCCTTTCATCGTAACAGCCACTCAGCTTTCCTCTCTCTCCCACTCTATCTCTCTCTCTCTCTTTCAGTGTAGGCGTACGCCCTGTTTACTCGGAAGCCATCGTTGGGGCTACAAATTAACAGAATTGAGAGCTCGCCTCAACATTCAATTTGCTTAAATTTTCCGACTAAAGTTTTAAAAGTCGCTTAGTGAATTTATGGTTACTAAAATATAAAGGGGGCGGGCCTAGCTGCCTCCCGTTTTCCTAGGAATACGGCTGCCCAATAGATACTTCAGGCTCGATTTGACATTTTTAGTGGGAACACTCTAAGGACTCTCTCAGGAGTCCATTGATTAGAGCATTAAAGCGAATCAATCTTAAGTCTCAAGTGGGCCAATCCCATTTGCCCACCTCTCCTCTACTCATATGAAGTTCTTCTCACTTTAAAGTCGTAAGTTCAGTTTGTATTATTTTTAAATGCCTAACATAGCTTTAAAAATAAATAAATAGATACAAAGTAATCTCTCATGCTCAAATATGCTGCAATGGCAGTTGGCGCAGGAGGCGTGGCAGCGTTGGCATTGGACTTCCGAGTCAATTAGTGTTAATTTCATTAGTTGGCAATAACTCGCAGCGAATTTCATCAGGCACCGCCTCAAGCGCTCGCTGACTCAAGACTTTTCGGCTAATTTCTGTTGCTGTTACGCTAACGCGCTCAGCTCGACTTGAACATTTGTTGCCGTTGCTCACTGCTGTTGCTGTTGTTGTTGGTGTTGGTGTTGCTGCTGCTGCTGTTGAAGTTACATTTGGCAATTAGCAGCTGCATTCTGCAAGCATTTGGACCCTTTTGCATTGCATTGGCCCTATGCCCCGTTGCTCCGCTGCCCCTCTGCCCCGCTGCCCCGTTACCCCCTTGCCAGCTGTGGCGCACTTCAATACATATTTATTAGCCGCATTTGTTGGATCTTAGCTCAATTAAAAAGTTTTCCTTGGCTACTTTTCTTCATTTTGCAGCTTGCCCTCTGACTCTGACTCCGACTTGAACTCCGGCTGCGATTTCAGCTGCAACTCTGACTGTGACTCCGTCTCGGAATGTCTTGTTTTGGCTACGCTCAGCCAAGTTTGTGAGTTGCTTTTGCAGTTTTACACTTCTCTGTGGCTCTAATTGCAATTATTCAGCTCCACACGCCCACGGGCTAAAAGCCTCTGTCTTGGCAACAACCAGCAGACCGAGAGGACAACCCAAAGCCACACGAAGCCAGTGAGCAGTGCTAGAGTCGACCGACAGTCTCGACTAGCCAGATACCCTTGAATCTCTAGTGAATGGACATAAAATAATAGGAGCGATCTATTAATTGAAATGAATTCGCTTTGCATCTGCTTTGAGTTTGTTTATCAATACTGAAAACACTGTTATTGTTCGAATGTTAATCTTATGTTATTGGTATGAACATTACCGCAATGTAGTTGTTAAACTATGTCTACTACTTCTTTGGGTCTACAGTCTCCGCAGTTGGTTTTATGTTTGTTTTGGGCAATATCCGGGTCAGGGTATCTTTTAGTCGGCCAGCCCGACTGGAGTTATCTTAGTTGTTAGTTTTTGTCTATATCAAATATATTATCAAAGATCAAACGAACATATTAAGTATACATCTATAAGAGAGGAGCTCTGGTAAACATCATAATTTTCGCTGGACTTATCCCAGCAGATGGTTGGGCGACTGCCAGCCAGCAAGTGGGGTCAGGGGCTGGGCGGCGATGGTGTATTGGGGGCGCTGCTTGTGGACCACGGTGCGTATGACGGGCACCTTGACCGGGTACGGGTAGAAGACGGGCGTGGCGATGGGCTTCTCCACCCGGTAGGGCACTTGGCGCTCGACGACGTACGGAACGGGTCGCTCGACCGGCACGGGCCGCACCTTCTCGACGGGTATTTTCACCTCCTGCAGCTGGGGCACGGCCACGGCCTTGGTGACGGGTATGCGGATGGGAATCGGCTTCGGAATGGCTGTGATCACGGGCCGAGGTATGCGCAGCTGCAGCGGCTGCTTGTAGGGCACGTGGATCTGCTGGTAGTGCGTGATGGGCACGTGCTTCGTGACCTCGATGTGCTTGGAGAGCGGCAGCCCGGCGATGGCTCTGCTGCTCGAGGGCGTGTGATGCACCGTCGTTGTGATGGGAGGCAGCGCGTTGGGGTGGGGCATGTCGACAATGTGTTGCTCCGCCTGAGAGTAGAGCAGCTGCTGATCCTCGTGGTGCAGCTGTGAGGATGAGGGTGTGGCTGAGGGCGAGGGCTCCTCCTGCTGCAGCTGCTTCCGCTTCATGGGCAACTGCCTGTTGGCATAAGCTAAGGCGTTGGCGTTGGTGATTTGCTGATGTTGCTGCTGCTGCTGCTGCTGTTGTCGCTGCTGCTCCCTGCTGGAGGCGGGATGGCGATAATTGGAAAATTGCTCAATATGATAATCGTTGTTGGGCTGCGATGCCCGCGGCTGATACGCATAGCTCTGATAGTAGATGTCAGGCTGGAGCTGCTGCTGCTGCTGCTGCTGGTGTTGCTCTTCATTGGCAGTCAACTCATAATTTGCCGCATTAATGACAAAATCGATTTTGCCCCGATCCGAGTATCCCGACTGCATTCCATTGTTGTTGTTGTTGTTGTTGCTGTAGCTGTAGCTGTGTGGCACAAAGCCATGGGCGATGCCAGCCAGACCACTGATGGCTTTTCGTTCATAATTTGCATATGGTGTTGGTGCCAAGTCACCTTGGCCATCGCCATCGCCAAAGCCCGCTGCACTGGCTGCCCCGTAATAATGTCGTGCACTCGTCCCATATCCAGCTAATCCTGGCGGCGCCTCAGCGCCCGCCTCGTGGTAATTGCTTTGGCCGTGCTGCTGGCGCAGGGGCGTGCCCAGCGGCAGCTCACTCATTGGCAGCTCCATTATCGCCGTCGTCGCGCTCATTGTTATGGATAGCAATAGCAGCAGAGGCAGCAGCTGGGCCGCAGGCCGGCGTAGCTCATGGATCATTAATGGAGTGTTTGCGTTGCTTAGCTTCATGACTCTTCCCCAGCTGGCCCAAGCAGTCGAAGACGTTGCAGACGTTGCTGATAGTCGCCGTCAAGTGTGGCATTGACTGCAGGCAGCGAGGCTTATATAGCCAGCCCTACGCATGGGTAATACGATATGTGTACGATAGAGTTGCGTTAGGTCTGGTCATTGCACTCAAAGTCAAGTTCATTGTCTGTCTCCCTCTGCCTCGCTCTCTCAGTATATCTTTCTATCTCTTTCTATCTGTGATTAATTACATTCACTTTCACTCTTAAGCCAACGTCCTTGCCCCTGTCTAGAGCTTAATCGATCCGCCGACAACTGCATCGAATTTCACGCTTGTGGTTGGGCTGCCCGCTGTCAATGGCTCGCCCGCCGGCATTTGTGGTTAGGTTTTCAATCTGTGTCTAGGCACTCACACACACACACTCGCACACATGTGAAGCTGTCAGCCTTTTGCGAGCTGCAGCTGCAACTGCACTTCTTCATATGGTCACGTGACACCAAAGACTTCCGCAACTTTCCGTTTCGGATTTAGCTGTTTCAGATTTCTTGCATAATTCGCAGTCAGCCCGAGAAGAGCTCTGGCCCAAAAGAAATCAGTATAATATCTCACTCTACATTTTGACAGGCGAGCGCTCTGTGTGCTCTTGGGCATTTGGGTATTCGGGTGTTTGGGTGTTTGAGTGGGGAGTGGGGAGTGGGGAGTGGCGAGGCGGACTACCTGCAGCTCATTCATCATTCTTGCTTGCATTTTTAAGTTGGCAAAAGTTCGCCACCCGCTCGCAGTCGACTCAACCACTTACCAAACTCCTTCTGTTGGTTCAAAGTATTTGCACAATTGCTGCTTGAGCTGCGCACGAAATGACAGCGCAAAGTGTACGTAAAGTGGATTTTTTCCATTGAACGAGGTTAAGCTTCGTTAAATTTCGCACAGCGTCGCAGCAAAAAGCCCTAAGACCACTCACTACCCAAACATACTGCGTGCCCAGCACATTTTTCAAGAGAGTCTCCCAAGTCTATGCGAGAGGCACTCGCTCTACACGCATTCCTGGATCTCGGCCATCAAATATTTATTCAGCAAAGACATTTACAGAGCATCGCCTAGTCGTGCAGCTTGGCGCTTGCAGCTCCTCTATTTGTTTCCTCTAATTACTTGAAATGCTTTCAAGTCTTGTGAGGCATATTAAAGCAACGATTCGTACTAAATGCAGCTGGAGGACGCTTCGCTTGTCCCCGGCAAAATCAACACACAAAAATACAAAAATATAAAAAAATTATGAAAACTTGTTACTCATAATAGCTTCAACACACAAAGATTATTTAAGAAAGTTCAAAATTACTTTTCGCCTTGCACAATATCCATCATAACATTAACTGAGCCGAGGAGTAGGCGGGGTGAGGAGAGCAGAGCGCGGTGTAGGCAGAGTGCGAGGTCTCGACTCCTTTCATTCCCTTTTCGCTGTGACACTGAAAGTTCATTAAGTTTCGTTAAAACGTTAAACTGGGAAAATTGCCAAGAAAAAAAGCCAGAAATTGTGTTTTTCTCTTCTTTTTGCTTTCATTTTTATACCCCAAATACTCATAGAAAGAGCGTGAATGGGGTATGTGGTTTCCCTTTGTAATTTATGCAACAGGCAGGAGTCAGTCCGGAGGACGTGCAGCAGATACCATAGAGGAAGCATCTATAACTTCCTTATGATCAATAGATCAGTAATCTTTTATCTGTTCATGGATCATTCATTGATTATATTATTTAGTCAACTAGCTTTTATCTAGCAGACATATAGATTCTTCCATAAGATCTTCGACCTAGTTAACTAAGTTTTGTCTGTCTGTCTTGTATGATTCGTCCATCCATCTTTTATCTGTTTATCCGTTTGCCTGTCTCTGTTAGTTTATCCTTCCATTCAGTTGCCGCTCCGGCCGTCATTTCATTCATCCCTGTCTACCCCGTCTGTTCAGCTGTCTTGCCCTCTTCCAGTTCATTCACCTATCAATCCATTTGTCCCTTCATCAGTCACCTGTCCGTATCTAAACGTCTCTTCCCACATCTGGGAACATACTTCGATATCGCCAAGTATAAGAGGTATGCAGAGAAACAAGAGAGCTTTTTGCACTTCCAATGAATCAGTTAAGATCAATATAAAATTTCAGTAAAATTCAGATGCCACGCCCAAAGCTGCTCTAATCAGTCTGTGAGCTGGGTAACTGCTAGTCGGTCAATCTGGGACTGCATCACAGCGACTTGTTTTGAATTGACTGACCCGGCCGGCTGGGAGCTAGGTCTAGCAGGGTTTGACGTCTGAGGGTTGCATGCGAATTTAATCAAGTCATGCAATAAAATTTACGGTTTTGCCGACTTGGTCAAGAATGCGCTACAATGCCTGGCCTGTTTAGCGTTGGCCACTGACTCGCTTGAATATATTTATATAGCAGTTGGGGCATGCCGCGTTCGCAAGGCTGCCGCCTTTCACAAATACTAATATTTGCTTCGCCTTTACTCTTTTTACACGTCTTTGTGTTTGTTGTTGTTGTTTTTGTTTCTTTGCTCTGTTCGCGAGTATGTGCGGCCTTCGGTCTGGTTTAAAACAATTTGCGGTCTTTCACGTTGTTTGGCTGGCAAAAAGTTCTCTTACGTATTTTCCACGCCCGTAAACACAGTGAGAGAGGCATATTGGTATATTAGGTAATGTTGGCTGCAATAAAAATATTTAAAGGGATATGTAATCTTGTAGTAGACTAATATAAATTAGAGATAATAGTACTATCGTTAACTATCGATACCCAACAATTAGGCTAACGATACTTAGCTAGAGTGACATCCGGACATAACTAGAAAGCCATTAAAGAGGGCTGGAAGTCGGAATGAAACTCTCTCCTTTACACCTTTCTAGCTTCTGATATGCTGATCAAAAATCTTATGCCAATGATGAATATGATCAAAGGGATCAATTGGGATCATTGGGGCCAATGGGGTCAGCGGTATCAATGGGATCATTGGATCAATGGGGTCAATGATATCAATGGGATCAATGGGTTCTATGTGATGAAGAGGGTCAATGGGATCAATAGGCTCAATGGGATCAACGGGGTTTACGGTGTGTTGCAAATCGGAATTTTGAATATCTTCGAGTCGTAGAGGTCCGATATCCCAGTCTTCTATTTGGATCAGCTATGATCCTTCAAATGTGAGCTCCTCTTATTGATTCTTCGCCAGGGTATTTTGCAGTCAGTACAGACCCTAGGTAATGCCCGTAAAGTTGTTGCTTTTTTTTTGAGCTGAGGAAGTTTTTAGCATTCTTTGCAGTCTGCCGAAATGAAGGTATTCCGAGTCTGAGCTCTTGCAGAGTGTCGATTGAAGGGTGCATATATAGAGAGACAATAAGATTATATATATGTGTAATAAGAATATGCTCTTGTTACATTAGCTGGAGTTATTATTCGATAAGTCTCTGGAATCGACCAGCAATGGGGAGCTGTCTGTCGATTTCTGTGGGGTGTGAAAATTCTCAATCAAAATTCCGCGACGTGGCGCCTAATTTTTTTTTGCTTTTGTTTTTATGCGGTTGTTTTTTTTTTTTCTTTGGCTTTGGCTTTGGTGTTTTAGGCCAGGCAGTTAGCTTTGGTAAAGTTCGTTTCTGCTTGTCTTAGTTGGGCAAAGTTCAGTGTTTTTTTTTTGGTCGGTTGGTCGTTCGGTCGGGCTTTGTTTTTTCGCTTTTCGTATGCAAGGCTCATAGAAATGCAAATTTCAATTACGTATATAGCTGGCGAAATTGAAATGCTTTTTGAAATATTTTCATTTGGCTACTCATAAGAAATGCAGCCGCAGTTCAACTTTGTTCGACTCGACTCCAACTTTGCCCCCGAACGCGAACGCGAGCGCAAACGCTGGTTGGCTTGTCAACAATCGCGCGCATTTCATTTGCATTTCGAATGCGTGAAAACTTTCGCGTAGTCAGAAATTTATTTGCGAATTTTGTAACATGTGTCCAGTTGGCGCAAGTCGAAAACTTTTCACTTGAAAACTTGCCAGCAGTTGCATGGATGGACAAAGAGGGTGGTGGTGACAAAAAGGGGAGGGGGGGGGGAGTAAACTGCCAAATCACTTTGGTTTCTTTGGTTAATGAAAATTTCATTTGGAACACCGACAAAGTTTTACACTCGGACTGTCTTCTGGACGGCAATAAGCCCGGCCGGGCGGCTCGCACCATTTTGTGGCCGGATTGATGTTGACTGCGAGTTATTTCATTTAATTGCCGTTGAAATATTTAATATTAATTGATGTCCTTTAATTGCTGCTGCGGTTCGCGAATCTCTCAGCTCGCCCAACTCATTAAAATCGCATCAACTGGGCAGCTGGGCAGCTCGTCCGCTGCCCCGTGGCCTCTGCCCCACATTATTAATCTTCATAATAGAACCACATATTGCCAGCAGGAATTCGGCTAAGACAATGCCTAAGCCTGCCAAGACAAAGCACAAAACTTTGCCCACGCATCACATTCAGCCACAACAATTTGCGTTTAGCTTCTATGCAATTTATTGTATTGACTCCTCTTGATCCTTTCAATTCCCCTCACCCATCCCATCGTCCTGACAACTTTTTGCACATTTCCTCTTTGTCTGCATGTAACGACCTGCCTGGGACTTGACTCGGCCATCGAGCAGGCTGAGGCTCTGCTGCCTACTTGGACAATTGATTTTCGTTTGGCCACATCAACAATAAGCAGCAGAAATTCTCATTCAATATTGCTTGATTGCTGAGCAGTTGGAATTTATTCAGGTCCCATGCAGTTCCATGTTCTTCGAGAAATATTAAATGATGTTAAGCACAGAAACACCGACGTGGAGAAACTAAAATTGGATAGAGGCAGACATTTCCAGTGAGAGAGAGAGAGTGAGAGAGAGTGAGAGAGAGAGAGAGAGAAAAAGGAGAAAGGAAAAAGGAAGAGAGTGAAAGAGAGAGAGAGAGAGC